GCCTGTGACAAACTAACATCAAACTTTCAGCAGTAAAGGTATTTCATATGTGAACTCTATTTGTTTTCTACCTTTTGTAAACTCAGGATTAAATTTGGTTTCACTCCCCACTGCCTCCTTCCCTCTCCATCCCCCACAAATACTGATACTGCAGTACACCACTAATGCTTGTCTTTGAATTTCCTGTTCTGTTTAGATGGCTCAGTGCTATTGTCCAGTGGTACTGTTCAGGGGAGAAGTCTACAACCAGCATCTTGTTATCATTGTCCATGATAGAGAATACTATATAGAATATCTAGCTATTCATATTCAAAAGAAGCTTAAAAGCTGAATTAAAAAGTACTGTTGCCAGGGTATATAACTCTAATAGCTCTTAGTTATTTTGTGTGTGTTTCTGTTCCTGTGTTTCAGCTGTCCAGTCCCAAATACTCACACAATTCTCATTGAGAATGGGAACTCAAGCAAAGCTCAGTTTAAACTGAAGATCTTTTCCTTTGTCAACAATTCTGTGGTTTATCTCCACTGCAGAATTCGCATTTGTGTAGAGACTCCTGAAAGCACCTGCAGGACGGTAAGGGGTTTGCTCCTTTAAACTTTTTCTATGTGACTATGTCCTATATACCAGCTGGAAAATATGCTTCCAAAAATGTGTTGGTGTCCTCATCCTTACTTCTACATTGCCCTTCTTTTTTTAACTGGAAGCAGTGAGAGGTGGAAAAATAATACAGTCATATGTAAGCCCCCATCATCCCCTCTTTCTGTTTTCCATTGCCTAGTTCAAGTATGGAACTTAAAAAGTGGTATGAAAGGTTGGGAGCTGGGTGGCTTAGCCTTTTACTCTCAAATTGGTGGTTACTGGTCTTCAGTGATTGAAAGAAACCTACCATCTGATGACACTTGCAAAAAGAGCAGGTAGTCTCAATACTGCTCCTCACTGCATCTATACGACAAAAATGGTCAACTAGCACCTTTACTCATAGTAATGGCAGAAAATTCAAGAACAGAATTACAGTCCATATTCTTCCCTAAGCACTGTTTCTCCATATCACGGCTTTGGCACTGTGAGAGGAAGCTTGCATGGTAATGATCTAGTTCCATGGAGCTAGGTTTCTAGTACTGTCAGTCCAGCACCTTTTAAGAATTATTTTAAAATAAGATAATAATGAGCAATATGTTGACATAATCTGTGTTAACCTTTGTCTTCAGAGTGTAATACAAAATATCATAGTTTCTATGTAGTTCCAGTCATATACCATATACTATTCCACTTTTACAATTTGTTGCTCGTGGAAACAAGAATAGGGACTCTCTGCTGGTTTTCTCTTTTTACTGAATATATAAGGATCTTTTTCTTTTCTTTTGCCAAAATTATTTTCATTGGTTCTTTGATCCCTTATGTAAGAGTTTTCTCTAGCCATATATCATTCAATTTTGCCTCAATACAAAGCAAATGATACCTCCTAGCAGGGCATATAAGATGAAAATCTTTTCCTGTCTCAAGTTACAAAATTCTCCCCAGACAAAACAGAAAAAAGGAGCAAGACATTCAACTGAAAAAAAAGGAGGGCTCTAGGTCTGACAGCTAATTATTTATGTAAGATTGAATATTTAAAGTAACACCGTGGTTTATAGGGCTTGACAATTTACTTGACTACAACTTTAGTTCCTATTTGACAAAATTAAACAAAGAAGAAAAGGTAATAGGGTTAGAGTTCACTTCTGTAAACACAGATTCATTTGTCAAAATTAACTTGACTAGCCTGTGGCAAACTAACATCAACCTTTCAGTAGTAAGAGGTATTCCTTATGTGAACTCCATTTGCTCCGCATGTGCCTGCATATCTGGATTTGGCCATAGTGTTTTAAAAGGTGGGTTAGTATCATTAGCTCCATTTTACAGAGGGAAAAACTGGGGCGCAGAGAGGGGCAGGGATTCTCCCAAGCTCATGCAGTTAGCTAGTAGCAGAGCAAGGAACAGAATATATGATCTTGTCTATGCTGCTTCTCTGGACTACTGCTGAGGAAATGAACCCTGCCTACTTGCTCATGGGCTGCCCTCACTCAAGCCTGGTTTAGAGCCAGTGTATCTGATTTAGTGGTCCTGAACTTATGCCCAAGTGATAGCCCATGAGTGAGGCTGGGGTGTGTGGCAAGGGTCATCTAATCCAGATGTGCTGTCTAATTGCTAGGTTTGGTTATGGGTGGAGAGGGAATGACTAGATTGCTGTTCTGGGCTTGGCAGGGATGATGTGTAAACATGGAGTAGGTTGCCAAAGTCTCAGCCCAGCAACATCTTTGCTACTTCTCCCCTTTTGTAAAGAAAAGGTAATACAAGGTACACAATCTGGACAAAGCCCAGTTGGGAGGAAATGTAGGAAGTATTGCAGGGCAGACTCATGCACAAACCTACTGATGGACTAAGTGTTTAAATAAATGATCTTACTTCCTAGAATCTGCGATATCCTGTTTTTATGTAATAGGTGATAGCTCAATCTCCTACAGGATGAAGTTGTAGCACCATGGACTAGATTACCACGTTAATTTGGTACTATGGTAATAATCTAGTACCATGGACTAGATTAGCATATTTTTTTGCATACCACATAGCCCCATATAAGACATGCACCGTGGTTTGGGGAAAGCAGAATGAAGAAAAAGATTTTTCCAGAATTCTTGCTGCATTTAGCTCAGTCACTTTTCCTTTCCTGCTCAGGCAAAAGCTAGTTTTAACCTTTTCATAGTTGAATTGGCTGTGAGGATGGGTGAATGAGCTGAACATTAGGCTGTCTCTGCTTCAGTTCATTTGTGAAAAAGTTAAAACTACAGCTACTGCCAGAGCCTGGACTTTCCCCCTCCCTCCACGTGGCCGCTGGGTAGAGAGAAGGAAAAGAGCAGCAGTCATTTTACAATATGTATGTGCTTCTATTCCAGGCCAAAAATATCAGCTTCCCCACTTAAGGCTGCACTCCAATTTTTGGAGGTTTTATTTTGGGGGTAAAATTCATTGTCTTGTTTCTTGCTACATCCACAGATTTTGTTGAGAGAGAATCTTCAGTAAATGTAATGTACATCATGGTGTGTTGAAGTGTTTGATATAATATTTTACAAAGTATTACTTGCCTATTTAGTCCAAAGTAGTGTGAACATGAAAATTGGCTGAAGAACTACACACAAAGGGTAAAGAGCAGTAAACAGATCTGAACAAAAGACTAGCAGGAGCTACAGAGATCAATATTGTATCTGTTATTATCTTAACATCTTTCATTAGATGGGTCAGGAGAAAACTGTGTCAACCCAGCAGTCCCAGAAACTGGTACATGAAGCAAGAGGGAGTTCCCACTTTTATACAGAAAAATCATAGGGGTTAGGGTCACAAGCCAAAGGGAGAGAAGAGGTAAAAGATAAAGAAACATCAACACTGTTATAAAATACACTAAGGGTTCAAAATACGGAGCAGGGAGGGTTCGGGGGGTGGGGGGTGGGACTGAGCTGCTCATAAGAGGTGAGAGCCTCCCATAAGAGACGAGAGCCCTCATCCCACCTGGCACCTTTCTAAGTAGCTCAGGTGGTGGTGGCAGCTCCTTCTGGCTGCCACTGCTGCAGAAACCCCCATGAGCTGGAGTTTAATTCAAACCCTGCATACACTCAGCACCTTAATTTCTGCCCCACACCTCTGGAGGTGTCCCTAAACAAGGCTTTAATTCCTAAAGTGCTCAAACAGCAGCCTGCAGCTGTCCCCAAATCTGAGTCCAGCTCCTTCAGTCCACAGTCCTGACTGACTAAGCCAGTGAGATTTTCAGATCCACTGTGTGTTCCTCTGTGTAGGTCTGACCAGGTTCCACATGCCGGCTGTTCTTTCTTGTCCTTACTTCAGCCTCAAGCTTCCTCTTCCTCCAAATCTTTCTGGGAGATGCAGTCCAAATTAACAGTCAGCACAACTCTGCAGACTGCTCCCTGGTTCCACCTGCTGTTACACACATTACATGCAAAAAGTAAGAGGCAGAGGAGGGGCACACTGAAGTGCTCTGGGTTAGAATACAAGGCGGTGGAGGGGAAAGAGACTTAACAGTGGGGGTCTACTACAGAGCCAAGGGGAAGAGCTAGACCAGGAATTCTTAAATCAGATCACGGAGGTAGTTAGGTCAAAGGACGTGGTCATCATGGGTGACCTGAACTTCCCGGACATCTGCTGGGAAGAGCAGTCAGCCAGGTCTGACCGCTCACGTAGGTTCCTAGCCTAAATGCAGGACCTCCATCTAACCCAGGAGATGCACAGCCCCACCAGGGGAGACGCCTTGTTGGACCTGGTGCTGGCCA